AACTTTAACCTTTATTTTCAAATGATATAATATCATATATTTACAGTTTGATGGAAATAAAGTTGATGTCACTTGCAACCGCCCCTGTTGTAGGTGGCAGCCCAAGAAGACGCTTGCATCATCTTGGAGCCCATTATAGTGTTTCTCGTCTATTTCTTATACGCTTTTCTCATTTCATGAGCTACCCATCTTTGCTCCGCTATCAATGTGGAATATTCTTGATCTCTAAGATAGGATGCCTTTCAAAGGTCCTAATTGTTGCATAGTTGGGCTGAATGTTGTTCCTAACGGTTATAATTTCGAACGCGTCGACCAAGCGTACTGTGGGTGGTTCGTAAAATTATCGACATGGTTGAAATGTAAACCCACATATCAACTGCATAGCCGAGCTCGGGTGAATGGTCGAATGTAAAAGGTGAGCGCAGTTTTGCGTATGACAGCTTGCCTTGTCAGGGTTCCGAATGAAGCCTTTTTTACCCTCCTTCTGTGCGTCGCTTTCCATGTTTGTAGATGATGATGTCCTTGGCAAAAGAAAGGTTTAATAGGAATTTTCCGTCAATATTTAAGCCCTTTTCACCCGAATTTAGTGATTTTAATATCCACAACAGTGCGGCCCTGAACAGCATTGGCGAGATAATTTCACACTGCAGGACCACTAATAGTTGCGCTGGTAAAGGTTGAGTAGGTAAGCTGCTTCTATATGGAACGATAGCAATTAGTTAGAATTCTTATCTAGCACAAGTCGGCATTCTTGGTCGACAAGCATTGATAGGACTGCATTCGTTTCGACGTTGTCAAACGCTTTGTTATACTGGACAGAAGTCAGCATAAGGGGCAGGTACTATTTCCAAAGAGCATCTATCATTCTAGATACGGTTTGAATGTGGTCCCTGCCGGGATCTCTATCGGAATCTAGAAAGGAGTGTGGTCTATGGCTTTTAGTTTAAAGGAAGTTCTCTATCATATTGTCTGTTTTTAAAGCTATAATTTTCTTCATACTTTTGATGGAAACCTGAACTCCACACGAGAGAATTCGATGTAGTTCTTCCTGAGCAGGATCCTAGAATTTGAAGCATGAGTTGTCGATGTGCTATTAATAAACTGCCGTATAACCAAGGTTCCTTCTGAATGGAACCAAACACTCATCGATTATTTGTCCTAGATTGAACGATGCCCACAGCCTTTCGATTCTTGAGAGAAATACTACTCTATCCGCATACAACTTCTTGTTCCTGTTCGCAACTTATTGTCGATTTGATGCAAATTCTTCGTGACGTGATACCTTTGAATTGCTTCCGAGCTACTGCGTTATAAGGTGGAAAGCTGACAATTAACACGTCCTCCGGAATGGCAGACGTTTAGCAAGTGTAGTTCTAACCAAACTGTAATTGCAGTCGGGCATCAATCCTACGTTAGTTAAACAATTGTCATCATAAACGTCGACTATTGCCGGCTTTTTCACGTTTTTGAATTCAAAGTCAATGGGCTATTTGTTAAGTGTACGCTTTCACCATCTGTCCACGGTGAAGTCGAGCAGTTGAATGATTTCTGCTTACAGAACTAACCAGTCCACAACTTCATGAGTTATAAGGATATGTTTAGCTGTGATTAACGCTGTCAGAGACCGACAGAAACTTATAATTTTAAAGTTCTGGGTTATGATTTTCCTTCTCGGTTAAAAAGGATAAAGCTTCCGATGTTGATAACCTCCTGAGGAATGCGCTTTGCACTCGACTTCACCAAGCATGGTTCGAGGTGATTCAATATATATTTAGCCTATACATTGAAGTGGTGGTAACCTACCGATATATCAAATCAGTAAAGCCATCCTCCCAAATAAATTTGGTACCAATCTGCTGACCCCGGATGGCAGGAGAGCTTGGTGAGCCAGTGCGCGGGATGGAACCCATGTGTATTACAAGGCGTCTTTAGAGACTACGGTACAAGCATCCATTCCTCTTCAATATCATCGGATCTAATTAGAAAAACAACTGTAAAGGTGGAGTGAAGCTGACTAATTTTTGATGCAGCTTTTTAAAATATATTCCATTAGAAACGTTAACAGACGTTCTCTCAATAATAGAGACCAAATACAAATTATACACTGCGGTTCCTGCTGCGGCCCCAGTTTAACTGAGTTAAAAAACTGCCTGACAGAAATGACAAGCAAGAGCATTGGTGGTGCATTGGGAAACACGCCGGCCTCGGAAAGTGTAATTGTGGTTTCGAATCTGGTCTGGGGTTCTATTTTTGCAAATGTTTCAACATCATTGTGGTTAAAGCAGCAGCTCTGGAAAAGTTGTTAGAGGATACCTTTCATAAAAAGACCATCCTCCCTTAGTTAAACTCACCTAGGTTTCTGCACATGTTACGAAAATATGCCATGGATCATCGTGCGCATTTTCGCTTCGGTAGCTTGAACCATAATGGATTACAGTAGCCACGCCTCAGGTTCCATAGCCTTTCTGTGATCCACTTTTCCTATATTTGTGGAGGCTTCGAGTTCCGTCCGGCTGATTCGTCAAAGTCATTCGCTGTCAAATTATATCCGATTACCTGTGGCACGTGAAGTTTCTATTCTTAAGAGGGCAAGGACAATGTGCCCAACGTGTATTTCATCCTACAGATAAAGGATAAAAAGCGTAAGGCTCGCCGCGTTGACACATTTCTGAGGGATGTACCATGCATTTAACTTCATCAAGCATCGATAAACATGACTGAAAGTATAATCTGTGCTATACAATAACTTGTGGTGGTCTACCAATGTACCAAATCAGCGTTGTTATCCTTGCAGACAAGTCTGTTACCAATTTTCCTTGCCCAGAATGGTGGAGAGTTTGATAAGCCCCAGCGCGAGATCGAACCAAAGACGATGTTTGAATTGCAAGACATCCCTAATCACTGCGCTGCACACACATCCCATAGGTATTAACAACTATATGGAATTATCGAACAGTAGCATAATCCGACACTAGTACTGCTGATATTGTTATCATTAACGACGAACCACGACCAAACTCGTAAATAATAGGTTCCGTCTTAACTTTTCAAAACAATGACTCGATTTTACAGAATTTTTCTACCTAACTAAGCAAAAACGGTGCGTGTGGCGCAGTGGTCGGAGGCACCCTGCTATACACATGGGATCGATTCCCGCGCCCTTGCCTCACCAATCCTTCCGTCCTTCCGGGGTTGGCAAACTGGTAGCAGACTTGTATGAGAGGATAGCACCACTTGCTCGATACATCGCTAAGCCACCTCGAGTCATTGTAAAGGCCAGATTTGCACCTCCAATGATGCTTAATGAAGTCGCATGCATGGCGCATCCCTTTAGGGATTCATCAACGCTAACAGCTTCAGCTTTAATTAAGAAAAAATGACTGGCACTAGGTAACGGTAGAGATCAATGCAACGACACAGTGATATTTTACTGTTGGTAGATTCTATGCGAAAACGGTACATTGGACATTTCAAAAGTCTTATTATAGTAAATTCATTCCAATCGTACACAAACACGATTGAGTACAGGCAAAAAGTAATGCAGATACGAATGAATCCGCATACAGCGAGTACTCATGGGTCTAAATGAGGTATAAAAACAGGAAACTGAGGAAAGAGTCAGTGGGGCAATACGGTTCCTAGATCTCTTAAAAACAGAAAACGACGCAAATCATCCATAAGAGATAAAAACAAAATGAAACGAAACGACGAAAGGAATCACAAAACATCCTAATTATTAAATACGACATTCTCTAACATGAATCAGTCAAAACTCTTTGCCGAATGTGCTGAACTCTGTGGAGAAGTAGAACAACTCGTCGGTGGTGGAGTTAATAGTCCCGACGTTACAGCAGCTTGGATAGAGCAAGACGGGGAAAGTGGTGGTACGGACGGGTACATCTGTAAGAGAACTATGGTATACATTGGCATGCATTTATGGATTCAACTGTCTCAAGTATAACCCCATGGCAAGTCCAAGTGCTACTGATGAAACTAACAGGATGTTATGTAAGAGAATAGTTACTATTCCGCTCTATGAAGTGCAGAATTATTTTGGTACCCTGCTAGTAAGGCTTTTATTCCATGAACTTGGACCGGATTTCTGGAAACTTATGCTGAAAACTTCACGAGTGAGAAAATAAGTCTAAAAGCTATAATTAATGATGCTAGCTAAAAGTACTTAAACAACAGCGACTACTTACAACATAAAGAACCAAATAGTACGTCATTTACGCAATGTAAACACTAAACAGATAAACCACATTTCGCTCGAAATTCTTAGATTTCCAAAAAGAAAGCATACAATTCTTACTCAGAAAGCCTAATTCTTCTCCTTCTTATAACCAAACCTTTTTTTTTTGATTTCACATGACTCGTCATCACATCTACTGTGCAGAGCGCAGCAATTGCATCAAATTGTTTTTCCTTGCATACAACGTCCACAAAGGTTTCCTTCATCAATGTCGTAGAATGCTGGCAAAGAGAATTCACCTAGCAATCTTGGCGATAAATGAGCTAAAGCGTCCTTACGTGGACTGAGGAGGTTGAGCCAACACCGTGGTTCGTGACGGACTGCATCACCAACCACTCCGCTATCTCCTCCTATATAAGTATATATTGCTTTAAAATTAGATAGCAAACCAGATGGGTAAGAAACGCACAAAGAGGATGAGGTAAATATAACACAAAGGGACATAGGTCCTAGTAATCATGATAATCACAATTCTGCAGACAAAAGGTTGTTTAAGAAGGAGAAAACTGTGTAAAACTAAAACATATATGTGTAGTAGATAGAGAGGATTGATGTGTCCATAGAAACACTTTCATATATTTTCAATAGAAGCATAAGACTTTAACATGTACATGAGGTTTTACATCCAAATATTTGTTTGTCAAATCCTCATCAAAGTGATAAAGTTTGAAAGCGGTACAACTTATCACTAAGGCTGAACAAACTCAGAAAGTAATAAGATGAAGACTCAACTTAAAATGGAGACAAATCAACTCACCCCGACATTCGTACCACGTACGCCCAAGTGTCGCTCGTACTCAATGAGCTGCCCCATAAAGTGAAAATTAGGAGCTATACTTGCATTCCGACGTAGTACCAGGTCATATGCGTCTTCCAAGCTCCATCTTAACAAAAAAAAAAGTAAAAATTAAAGAAAAGTTAGCACAAACAAAGTATAAGAAGGCCACAATACTTGTTCTTTGTCATGAGATAAGCAAGACAAACTGTGACACTGCGAGAAATGCCGGCTAGGCAGTGTACGAGACAGGCATCACCAGCATGTGCTGCCGTATCTATGAAAGCAATCGCTTCTGAAAAAGATAAGATGAAGATGAAAGGCAACTGAAAATTTACCAGGAAAAGGCACGATCAATATCCACCTGGAAAATAGTGCGAAAGATTATGAGAACTATTGTCGTCGACAGAGATTCGTTGGTAATGGAAGGAGGGATTGCCTTCGAATACGTTCGGAAGGTTTGAAGTAACATTGATAATATAGTGCACACCGTTGCTGAAAAACAAATGATGGCCGACGATCACAGGTAAGAAGGCAATATGCAAGATGTTACAACTGAAAGAAAAAGAAGAAGACAACTACTAATACTCTCTCGAACAGCTGTTTTACACTACGCTTCGTTTTTTCTCTTAAGCACTTCCACACAAACTTTGAGTACGTGCCAGAAGAGAGTTCTAAAAGTCAACTAAACCTATCAAAAAGTGGTAAGAAGGCAAGACTCGAACAGAATTACATCTCAGTACTATAAACTTAAGTCTTGGAGTTAAAGCTTCATTCCATGCACTCCGTGTTGGATGCAGGCTCCATGAAGCCTTGGTGCCTCACGTTCATTCAAAACACAACTAGTCAATCGATGTCGATATGTCGACCGCTAGGTCTAGGACAAGGTGTTAGCCCCATTTCAAAAAACCATATTTGTGAAATACAGCCACAGCGAAGCTGAGATATTCGCAAAACTTAGACCACGGGCCAGATCGAACCACGTACTTGTGTTTCCAGAACATAGTTTGTGTTTTGGCACCAGATCGACGTCCAAGTTTCTGGAGAACTCAAGCTGAATTCCCAACTCTGGACATAACCAGGTGCCTTGCGAGTTAGAGTTTTTGTTCCTAACATCATCTTTTTTTGTGTAGCAACTCGGTACTAAGCACTTTGACAAACAACTATGAAATCACCAGAATAATCTTAGGAATTTTCATCTATTCTCTCCATAAAGGTGGGTGTTTAACACCAAACTTCTGGATGACATCATTTTTATCCCTACGAAGATACCCCCTTCCAATTTTTTTTCCGAATTATAGTTCTACATAAATACAACACAGAAACGGTTCACTAAGCAACGGTCTTTACTTCCATGACGTTTCCTACATCTAAATATAATCCAACCAAGTAAATGACAGAAAAATAGAAATCATGTCAATACTTCACATGAAAATACAACCCAGGAAGATCGATTTTTCCAGAATTCGAACTTGCGACAATAACTTTTCCAATCTAATATTTGTTCATGTCAATCAAAAGAATCGGACGAATGGGGTTACATCCATAGTTTCAATCAATGTAACTCTAAAGACAAGTCAGTAAAACAAAACGCAAGGAACTGGATGACTAAGACTGATGGATGAATTACGAATCTAGGATGAAAGTCAAGAGAGCTCATAGCACCAGCGTTCATGTTATTTGAAACCTGGACGAAAATGTTTAGTAAGCTACATTAAAGTGGTTATTCTAAGAATAACGCGCTCAGATCTTCAGAATGCCAGCTTCTCATTACAAGACCTTAGTTCCCAAAACTTAAACTGAATAGTTGACTATACAGATAGAAACAATGCTATTGAAACCGCAAAAGGCTAAAGGATAAAGGACAAAGGACCATTAAAAAAGGTTACAAATATAACCCATGGGCGAAAGCCAGCTATGCAAAACATTCAGATTTTAGTGAATCATGAAAGGAAACCATAAGAATGGCTTCAAAAGTCAAGAAAACAGTACTGCTCAGACGACTTCCAACCATTTGGTTAGTCAAAACTGACCGGATATAAATTTTATAAAAGACTTTAAAACTACGAAAACCGCACCATAAATACACCATAAGCACAACGATTTGTAAGTTGGAGAAAAACTAACCGCTCTAAGAGCTGTGAGTCACTTGCCGTTTCATAATTTCCTAAAAAAAGATGTGGAAGGATTTGAACAGGGAAATGTTGACGCTTCTCGGTAGAGGGACCAATTCCAGGCTCTATTCGTAGAGCGCTAAAGTTCGAAATGTAATTACTATAGGAAAACACTGAAATGTATTATTTATAACTCATACTTCAGATTCAGACAGCCTACGTCTCCGCTCGATCGACAGTTTGGTCGATCGTTGTCAACACGAAGCAACGGAAACGAAGAGAGAACCGTTTCAACGGGATCTTAAACAACAAAGGCGACTAACTACTGGAAATAGGTAAACAGTAAAAGTGAAAAAAGAAAGTAAGTATAACGAACTCACCTTTAATGACTCGGTAACTAATGTTCGCTTTTCGAAGAGCACTCGTAACGGCATTCGAGATCGTGAGGTCAGATCCATGCTCCGGAACAATGACCACTTTCACGTTAACATCACTTAGGAGTGGAGATAAGGTTGATAACGATAGAGAACAATTAAGCAACCGTCGAAACAGTACGCTAGGCAGCCTGACCCTGAACACTTACATTGCAGAAATTTAACTAAAACCAAAGATCACTCGGAAGAAAGCACCTATAGGCGGAACGAATGGCAGGTCCTGCTGTACGGCAATCCAGAATACATGTCGACTGCGGTTCCGTCCTCATCAAGTGATCCAGTTCACCTCCACTGACAACTTCATCTTGACAGAAGGAAGTGGACGGAGCGGAGGTTGGACTTACCATACCTTAAATGATATAAGAATTCTATCGTAAGACTATTTACTTTCATTATTGCGAAAGAGAAGCAAACAAAAGGAAGAAATGACCTTCAACATGACCCAAAAGAAGAAATAGCACGAAATGCACGGCTTTCCTTCAGAGAATATAAGAAACAAACCATACTAGAGGGTTTTGAGATGTCTTCTATGGAAAGAATCTATAAGAAGCTCTGTAAGTAATGGTCCTTGGGTAACTTCAGCAACTTCATATGCAAATTCAGCTGAAAAAGCTGGACTAGAAAAAGCTTAACGAATGAGGCCTCAGTACGCTCGCACTTGTGCACTTTTAGAAATCAAGAATCGTAGAAACAGAACAGATTTGTAGGAGGGACGAAATGAATGACCGGAAACAACCCAGTGATCATAAATGAGCGCGAAGTCCGAAGATTTTTTTACGGTTCAACGGTGCCGATATCATGTGTGGAAGAAACGGAAAGCCGTCGGCGATGATGGATGGATGGAAGCCCGTCAAGGTGAGAGATGAACGAAAACACCAAAAGAATGGGGTGGCCCGTGATGATGCTGATCTGGGACAGGAAGAAGGAAAAAAAACCAGCTCGTGGTCGTTCCGTTGGACGAGCAGCCGCCGGAGCGCCGGAAGTGCCCGCCTCCACCCACGCACGCGGTCCCGTGACGAAGCGCAGGCGAGCAGGATTCGGCCGGAACACCGAAAAAGCATCACCAATGTCGTCGGACTGTGCTTTGGAAATGATCAGAGAGTTAGCGAGACAGTTCAGCAACGGGTTCGTCGTTGCGAGAAAGAAAGGCACCTGAACATTCCTCAATAGAAAACTTGAACAGTTAATTATTCATCATTAGTAATTCAAAGAATCCGAGTGGTACTGTGCACCCACTTCTTCTTGGCCCACTTCCTGCTACAAGAATTGACTAAATGGTTGAGTTGTACTAGGGAATCGACCAGGTTAAAGTAAGGAGATGATTTTAAGTACGTACTACCTATGAAAGGGTACCTTATAACCTTACCTTATGGATCAATGACTAGTGGAAATTTTAACAAATTCAACAAAAAAACCGGGAAGCCTTAGCGAACCGATAATCCCATTTGTGTAGTGATGCATTTCTGGATAATTATGAGCATGAGGCACACCCTTCAATACTAGGTCGATGGTGATGAAGTCACTTTTACAAAAAGAGTCCTATTCGAGAACTAATTTGGAGGTGATACGCAGCGTATGATAGAGACCCTTTACCCCCTATATGAAAATAACAAGGATCCTAAGATAACTACTTCGAATGGAATTCATTTTTGCGCCTCTACACTCGTTTCTGTCTATCGGAAGTTTGTTTAGTTAGTAAAACCAGATTACAGGAAGAGACGGAGTTACGCCCAACCTTCATATTTTCTCAATATGGAAATGAGACAATTTCGACACACATGATGAATGATGTCGAATAATTTTCCCCAATTCGGAAAGTGTGAGTTATATGTGACTCATACTCATCGAGGTTCTGGTTATACAAGTGAGCCTGTTTTTTTAAAAACTAAGGCAGAAACGTGATGAAAAGGGTCGCATGGAGAAGAAAAGCAAATAGATCGGAAGAGAGTGTATCAAAGATAATTTGTGTCAATCTCAACGCATTACTAAGACGAGAATCCTTGTCTGGAAAACTCTGGAAGCCGGTGGTTATGTTAGTGATTGACTGAACAGATGTTGAGATTGAAATTGAAGTTACAAAGAGTGAGAGCTTAAACAGCTGCCCTTCGTCGCTCGCCAGTACCCCAGGGAAATAGCGCGAAGTGAAGAGAACAAAGGGCCACAAAATCAGACACATACATCTTGATGGAAGAGCGTATACTTACGAATCAACACTGGAAATACGAACATAAATCATGCTGAAAGTCTTTTACTGACACAAGAAATAAGAAGATATCACGGGTGAAATCACAGAAATACTTATTAGCTGATTAATAATACAAAAAGTTCTTAGTATAGGAGACAAAGTAGAGTGATAGAATAAGAATTGGTAGAAGAAATGGGTGCAGAAGCGAATGATGATTGATTAGTTGTTTCGTTTTCTAATCTCAGATCCGGTTTAAAGTTCATGATAACACTTTGTGACGAAGGTGTCTGATTAGACTTAATGTGGGTGACACACGACCTTCTTAAGAGACACCCCATACTAGCAGTAAAATTTTGAATGATTTTAATCTGTACCGAAACGAGTTTATCAAGAGCAGAAAGAGAGGAAGGAAGACGAAGAAGGAAGAAACAACGGCGAAGATAGTATTGGTGAATAGTAAGAAGACTAAGAATGTCAACAGAAATGCTGAAAGCTCGAACACTTAGGCGTTGTGGACCGCGACTCCCCCAAACGACGAACGACGACGGGTCGTGGTCCGTTGGCACTGCTTCCGCTATCGGGAGTTCGATATCACTACACTCTTACAACCACTAGATAGAAGTGTCAACCCTTCGTATCGGGGTTGATAGCATCGATAGCAACGCCGTTTTCTTCCCGTTCATCGGAACTTCGTGTGAGTGGTTTTTTTCTTGATTTCGAGCAAAGCACCAGCAACCACAAAACCACATCAGATGAGTGTTCACAGTCATAGCGTGAAAGCTGACTGGCAATTAAGGGTGAACAATGAGCATGTTCAACAGATAGCATTTGCAGATAGCATTTGA